CTTGGGGAGGCCAGAAGTGGCAAGCATGCTCCTAACCTTGTCTAGGAGGGTCCTATTCATTCTCTCAGCCAAGCCATTCTGTTGGGGAGTATAGGGCACAGTTTTGTGTCTCCTAATCCCACTCTCAATACACAACCTATCCATATCCTTATTGCAGAATTCTAATCCATTGTCAGTTCTAAGGGTCTTAACCTTACATCCAGTTTGATTTTCTACCATAATTTTCCATTCTTTAAACCTAACATACACATCTGATTTATGTTCTAACAAACATACCCAGACTTTTCTAGAAAAGTCATCAATTATGGACAGAAAATACCTCCTACCCCCATGGGTAGGGACACTGGAAGGACCCCATACATCTGCATGTATGTAGTCAAGGACAGCTTTGGACTTAGGTTCACTAGGATAGCTAGAAACAGGAAACTGAACCCTATGTTGTTTACCTAAGACACAACCCTCACAGAAAGGTATAGGTGACACCAAGTCATTACCAAAACATCCAGTTTGTTTCAAAATATTTAATCCTCTATTACTCATGTGACCCAGTCTTTGGTGCCAAAGCACAGACTTGTCACTAAGTACAGCATTAGCATTTTCAGAAAAAGGTTTGGCATGCACAACATAAAGGTTATTTTGTTTCAAAGCTTTAAACAAAACAAGGGAGTTTTTCAAAATCTTCATACACCCATTCCCCCATTTACCCTCAAGACCACATTCTTCAAAAACAGAAACAGAAAGCAGGTTGTCCCTAAGATCAGGGACATGTCTAACATTTTTTAATTTGAAAACAGTTCCATTTTCAAACTTAAGACTTATGTCACCCACACCATGGACCTTACACTTCTTATTGTCAGCTAGGGACACATAACCAGAATCACAAGCACTATAAGTAGCAAACAGATTTTTAAAAGGAGTCATGTGGTAGGTACAACCTGAATCTATTAACCATTCAAGTTCAATTAGGTTGCTTAGGACAGAATTAGCCTGATCACAGACCATGAACACTTCTTCACTAATTTCCTTATTAGTCACAGAGTTGGCATGTTCATTTCTTTTGGGTTGGGTACAGTCTTTTATGAAATGATTTGGGTTCCCACAGTTATAGCACACCCTTTTCTTAGACTTATACCTTTTCTTACTAGGTTGTCTACCATTCTTATCCTGATTGTCCTTTTTAGGTTGTTTAGACCTGCTTTTAGACCTTCCCCTAACAAACAAAGCTTCCCCAGATTCCCTATGATGGTTCCTAGAATGTTTTAAGTCAAGTTCTTTACTTCTCAGGCCATTAATAACAATATCAAGGGTTATGTCATCCCTCCCATATTTAATGGCAGACTTAACATCATTATAGGAATCATGTATAGCATTCAATAAGACTATGGCAGTGTAGTCATCTATATGTTTATCCCCAGCCTGCTTAATGTTTTGGATTAGTTTATTAAAAACATCTAGGTTTTCATCAATATCTTTTGTTAGGTCAAGTCTAAACCTAAAAAACTTTTCCAACAAAAACAGTTTGCCAGGATGGGAAGTATCAGTATATAGAGACTCGAGTTTATCCCAGAGGTCTTTAGCAGACTCAATGACTCCAACCTTTCTAAGGATAGAGTCAGACAAGTTTAAATATATGGTTGAGCAGGCTGTTTCATTCATTTCAACTTGTTTAGGTTTTTCCTCAGTTTCTAAGTATTGCCCAGTAATAGCTCTATGAACTTTATGTTGTATTAACACACATTTTAATTTTTGTTTCCAAATATCAAAGTCAGTCTTACCATTAAAAGGCATCATACCATACTGGTTTGAAGCCATGATAACAGTCAAGCACACACAATTAATGAGCCAAATGTAATGCAGAAGCCTAGCCCTAGAAGGTTAGACTGCGGACTAAGGGACCACACAGATCCGGGGCCACAGAGGTGGTTGGCGGGGAATCCCCTAGCCCTAACCTCAGGTGCCTTAGCCAACTAGGGTTTCACAGCCACAGTATTACAATGGATCAGAAATTATCAACACATGTAACGAAATATACTGGAAACAGATAACAATAACAACAACAGAGGACCAGCAAACAAGTAGAAAACACAAAGGTGCTCAGATAATATTACAGGCAACTGTGGGCTAAGTTCGACACAGATTAGCACCACCCATGCACTAGTTCAACAACCTAGGGTTTCTGCAGATCTTGTCTAAACAAAATCTACACATGCAATGGTTAAGAAACTAGGGTTTCTAATCGGCAGTTCCTCAACCTAGGGTTTCAGAACACCCATGCATCACAGAAGCCGGTGGCACTCCGGCAGCCCAAGATAGGGTTTAAGCTGATATACCTGAGCGGGTGTCACTAAGAGACAACTTGACTTACCTTCTCTGATGGAGTTCTCCGGTGAGCTTCCGGTGTCCGAGAGAGGCAGCAGCGTCCAGGCTCTGATACCAATGTTAGAAAACCGGACCGGCTCAGACCTCAATCACCACAAAGCCCAAAGGCTTGCTCACACTCACCACCAGAGATACAACCAGGGAAGACGAAAGGGCGACATGCAACTAACCCTCACACTAAGAACCCAGACCCCAGCCCAGAAGTCCCACCGGAGGAGTAATAACCCACCACACTACCAGACTAGAGTGAAGACCCCAATAGGAACCCCAAGGTCTCACCGGAGCAAAGCCGGAGCTAAAGCTCAGAAGAAACCGACACTCTCTCACTCTAGGTCTAGGGTAACAGAACGGGAGAGACATCGGGTAGAGAGAAGATGGAAGGTCTGAAATAGGAGATTCCAGAAGAACCAGACAATATAAGAGAGGGCCACACGGGCATGGGCTGGGTATAAGACAAGGGATAAGGGAATGGGCTTGGTCGGGTAGACAGCCAATTGGGCCAGAGCAATAAATAGGAGACCATCTCCTTAAATGAGGTGGACCAAAGGCAACTCAGGGATGGCCCAGTGGAGGTGGACCTATACCACTACAACTTCGTATGATTTACGATGCACATTGACAACTTATTTTGGAAACAATTTAAGTTTACTGATATCTTTCTTCTAAATGAGTTGAAGTAGCACTGCCAATAAAAAATTAATTGAAAAGAAAGGAATTGATTTTATCAACTTACCTGGATTGTGTTCATGGTGCCTGTAGACTGCAGTTTACTTGGGAATTAGGAAACTTGGTAAAAAGGTTTTGAGTCCTATGCTACCTAGGCTGGGATTAATTTTATCGTAATTAGGAAACAAAGATTTTAGGACATAAATTACAAGTCTATAATAAATAAGTTGGAAGGTGAACCAAAGGGTTAATAATTAATTACTGTCGCATTATTATAGGGCGCCATTTATTGATCCATTATCACATAGAGATTGATTAAAGAAGATGGAAGAGCATTCATATTACACCACTTTTACGATGGAGGATGCCGCACCTTCAACGGTGACATGCGGCGGCGAGGATTCCAGGTGTTATCGCCGCCATGTCCACTTCACGTACGAGATTGTGGGTCTCGAGTCATTCGAGGATTCCCACACAACGTGTGTCTTCAGCGATTTGTTGCACACGTCGGAGGAGCACCGTCATGATTTCTTCCGGGAGGAGCTCTCGTTATGGCCCATTGAAGACGACGCCATCATCCACTCCATCGCCGACGTCGTCATTGCTCGGGTCGTCCAACTCGGGTCGAGCATTCGGGTTGACATACGCACCACCGCCTATGATGAGGATGAGGTGGACGCCTTGGGTCATTTACCTGATCATGTCGTGGCGGAGGCGGCGGTTTCTCTGGTGCCGGAAGTGATCCAGCTGTCTCTGAAGAGGAAGAGAGTGGAGGGGTGCGGCAGCGAAGGGGAGGTGGCTTGCGCCATTTGTCTCGACGGAGCTAGTGCGGTCGGGGGCCGAGGTGGCGGTCATGCCCTGCAACCATTCTTCGTTTCATGAGCACTGTCTTTTGACTTGGTTGGAAAGAAACCTCTCCTGCCCTCTCTGCCGCCGCAAGATTTCCGTCTGTGATTCTTGATATCATTAGGTTACAGGCGTTGCATAGTGCTTACGCAAACAGATTTTTTTATTCTTGTACAAAATTAATGTTTTCCATCATTATTATTAATTCCAAGTGCAGTTTTCTTTAATAATTAAGGAGTACATATTAATGGAGAATTTCTTTATAATAAAGTCTGATATGATCTTCATTTAACCTTTAACAAATTATTATGACGGAGTATTATAAATATATGTGATCGTCAGATGAATTATATGTATTCTTCTGAAGTTAATGTAATCATAATCGTGAAGTTCTTTATATTCTTTCAATTGATAAAAATAATAACAATAAAAATAATAAAACTAATAATAATAATAATAATATTCATATTAATAAGAATAATAATCATAATAATAATAGCAGTAGTAATAGTAATAAAAATAATAATAATAGTAATAATAATAATAATAGTAATAATGGTAATAGTAATAATAATAATAATAATAATAATAATACTAATAATAATAGTAATAATAATAATAATAGTAATAATAATAGTAATAATATTAGTAATAATAATAGTAATAATAGTAATAAGAGTAATAGTAATAGTAATAGTAATAGTGATAGTAATAGTAATAGTAATAGTAATAGTAATAGTAATAATAATAGTAATAGTAATAATAGTTTTAAGAGTAATAATAGTAATAGTAATAGTAACAGTAACAGTAACAGTAACAGTAACAGTAACAGTAACAGTAACAGTCACAGTCACAGTCACAGTCACAGTAACAGTAACAGTAACAGTAACAGTAACAGTAACAGTAATAGTAATAGTAATAATAATAATAATAATAATAATAATTTGAAATTTGATCTCTTCTATCCATTTTTTCACATCAATTTTTCATCTAAGAAGCACTTTTTATTTGAATCCACATATATTTACATATTTATATATAAAAGAAATAATAAACTTTTGCGTTATTAAATTGACACCCAACATTTTTGCCAAGTAGAGGTTGTGGTGGTTTAGTGGTTTACCTTGTGGGTTAAAAAAATAAATGACAAATTAACTTGAGAATAATGCATATTATTCTTCTAACTAATAAGCACACAATACTCCGTAATAATAATTTGTTAAAGGCTAAATGAAGATAAGACTTGATCAATGATCACCTAGAACGATACACATATCATAAAGAAATTCTCCATAATTATTCGAAAGAAAATAAAGACCTTAATGATTATATTGAACAAAACTGTACTTGGTATTGATGATGATGAAAAAGTTAATTTTGCATAAGAATTAACAATTTGGTTGCGTAAGCACTAAGCACCGCATGTACATAATGTGTAAGCTACTAGCTCGATCGTATCAAGAATCATAGACAGAAATATGGCGGCGGCAGAGAGGGCAGGATCGGTTTCTGTTCAGCCAAGTGAAAAGGCATTTCAAGTGAAATGAAGAATGGTTGCAGGGCATGACAGCCACCTCCGCCCCAACGGCACTCCGTCGAGACAAATGGAGCAAACCACCCTCTCTTCGCCACACTCTTCCACTCTCTTCCTCTTCAGTGACAACTAGATCACTTCCAGCAAAACCACCAGCTCCGCCGCAGCAAGAAAATTATCCAAGGCTTCTACGTAAACCTCATCATAGGCGGTGGTGCGTATGTCGACCCGAATGCTCGACCCGGACTGGGCGACCCGAGCAATGACGGTGTCAGCGATGGAGTGGATGATGGCTTCGTCGTCGATGGGCCATATTGTCGAGAGCTCCTCCCAGAAAAAGTCATAACGGTGCTCCTGCGGCGCGTCGCTGAAGACACACATGTTGTGGGAATCCTCGTACGACTCTAGACCGACAATCTCGTACGTGAAGTGGACATGGAGATTATAATAGATAGAAATATCGGGACATATTTGTATTTTCTCTTAATTTATCTGTTTAGTATAAATATACCATCGGGGCACCCTATTGGGGTATGCCATTATTCCATAATATTGTATATGGTATCAGAGCCTAGGTTGACCTAGTACCTCTCTGCCGCCTTCTTCTTTTCTCGATGGCCTCGTCTTCCGCAACTTCCACGATGGCCATGTCTTCGGCGATCCAACCCTCCACCCTCGTTTCTACTTCTACAGCGTCGGTGTTTACTGAGCAACCTTCTTCATCAGCACACACAACAGGTTCCATGGCGACTACCTTCTCTTCTCCTTCGCAAGCCTCGCCCAGCATTACCCAGCATCGACTATCGCCAGGCCCTTCTAATTTGCCACCGCCTCTTTCATCTTACCGGCTATTCCAGATGCCTGAACCCTTTTCTTGGACTCCAACTGGTACGGTAGCGGCCTCATCATCAGTAACTCTTCCTGGCAGCGGTTCAACCTTCTCTGGACAGCCGGGTGTTGTCCCGCCTCAGCAGTCAGCAACTCAACTTCCAGGTTACAATTCTGCCCCCTCGTTTTTGGCTTCTATTGCTGCTCAATTGGAGTTTTCTACACCCAATGTCACGAATATTATGACCACCCGGCTTAATGCGATTGAGGATTATCTTCCTTGGCGGACCCAATTTGAGTCGTTTCTAGTTTCCCATAGTCTTCTTGGGATTCTAGATGGCTCCATTTCGACACCACCCCAAGTCATGCATGATTTCTCTGGACGAGAAGTCCCAAATTATGAGTATACGCACTGGCTTAAAATTGATCAAACTGTGCGTTCCTGGTTATTTGCTACTTTGTCTCGAAATGTTTTGATGGCAGTTTATGATATAAAATTTTATGCTCTTATTTGGGAATCTCTTGAATCTCGATTTATGAATGCATGCATAGCTCGTTCTATCGAGCTGAAGATTTTATGATCAATATCTTTTGGAAATTAAGCTTGTGGTTGATGCATTGAATGCAATTAATTCTCCTGTTAGTAACAAAGAGTTACTTGAATACACCATCATGAGTTTGGGTCCCGAATATGAATCTCTTCTCAATATTATGAATTATATCCCGAGAGAACTTACCCTTGCAAAGCTGCAATCTAAGTGTATTTACTCCCCCGGATGATCCTACGTGTTTTTCTCAAGCTTAAAAATTTTCTGTTTGGCGAGCGGCCATGGTTGATGAATTTAATGCTCTAATTGCTAATAAGACATGGGATTTGGTACATTGGGATAGCACGAAAAATATAGTTGATTGTAAGTGGGTCTACAAAACTAAATTTAATTTGGATGGGTCTATTGAGCGACACAAGGCATGTCTGGTTGCCCAATGTTTTAAACAACAGGCTGACGTAGACTTTACTGAAACTTTTAGTTCAGTTGTTAAACCTACCACTGTTCGTCTTATTTTGTCTGTTGCTATTGCTTGTGGTTGGTGTATACGTCAATTAGACGTAAAGAATGCTTTCCTTCATGGTCTTCTTACCGAGGAAGTCTATATGCGTCAGCCCCCGGGATTTGTACATCCATCTTTCCCTCACCATGTATGCCGTCTTAAAAAGGCTATATATGGCCTAAAACAAGCTCCTAGAGCCTGGTTTCACAGATTTAGCGGTTTTCTTTTATCCCGGGGATTTTCACAGAGTAAGTTTGACTCCTCTATGTTTGTTTTTCGTACCCAGTCGCAGGTTGTCTATATCCTTCTTTATGTAGATGATATTTTAATTACCGAGTCCTCTGTTGATCTCATTCGGTCCATTATTCACTCTGTTTCTACTCAGTTTGCCATGAAGGATTTAGGGGATATTCATTTTTTCCTGGGTCTTCAGACCAAGCGCACGCCCAAAGGTCTTTTTATCTCTCAGCATAAGTACATATATGATTTATTACGTCGCTTTCACCTTCATACTATTAAGCCTGTTCGTACTCCTCTTCCTTCCCGTACTACACTCTCTCTTACAGATCGGGAACTTCTTACTGATGCGACTGAGTATCGCAGTATGGTAGGTGCTTTACAGTACTTAATTTTAACTAGACCAGATATTACTTATGTTGTACACTTAGTTTCCCAGTTTATGCATGCACCTCGTACTACTCACCTTTTGGCAGTGAAGCGTATTTACAGGTATTTACAAGGCACTATGGACTATGGGTTATGGCTCCAGTCCAACCGTGATATCTCTCTTATTATTGCTTACTCCGATGCGGATTGGGCTGGTTGTCCGGATAGCAGCAGGTCCACCACCGGTTATGCTATTTTTCTGGGGCCCAATTTAATTTCCTGGAGGTCAAAGAAGCAACCTACTACGGTGGATGTAAAAATTTCAAGTCCTACCTGACTCTCACTCATGCGGTCTAGGTCATCCCGGTACAGGCGTATGCAGTGTCTTGGGGATCCCTTATATGACTTGGGGACGATCCACCTACATTTATTTATTACCGAAATGAATTTAAAAAATCTAACGTCATATAACGCATTCTCAATTATTAAGATGTAATTGCCAATATACCCGCACCCATATGGAAGATGGTCATGTTGAATGACCTGAACTACTGAGGGACGGACCATCGAAATCCTCGACCAAGCCCAAATCTGTAACAAGTGCATACAACCGCCAACTTGTTTGGTTTCCCACTTGGCGTTGTTGCACAAGTTATGGTAGAGGTACCCGAGAACCGCTGATCCCCAACTCCATCGACAGGCTAAAGCCAAGTCACCCTGCAAGACCTCCAAAAAGTATAATCGTATTCGTGTCCCACTCGTGTCAGGGAACAAAAGGCCTCCAAGCAATTGCCATATTAGGGTTCTGGTGTCTTCGGTGACCTCTTCGTCTGTACTGTCAGGTAGGATCTGGTGACGGGTAAGAGCACTCATGGTGATATCACTTGTGCGCATATCAGTCTCTAGAGGAGTGAAACCACACGACTGCGTGCACAGGTCAATCCACTGAGCCTCTTATCCTTAACGGTTGGACCACTGAGGGGCATACCCCGAATGGACAAACCAAGGATCATCGCCACATCTTGTAGACTAATGCCGACCTCACCGAATGGAAGATGGAAAGTATGTGTCTCCGGCCTCCATCTCTCCACCAAAGCGCATATTAAACTATGATCCACCTTCATACGGGCAATGTGCTCTACCCCCAAGAAGCCAGCATATGCTAACATACCTATCACTCTTGGATCTCGCTCTTCAACTCCGAATGCAGCTGAAGAGCAACTGACGCATTTCAAGCACGAGTCTTTGGAATTTGGTTCATACCATATACGGTCCGCACGATGGGCACGCAGTGGCAACGTGAGCAGTGAACGGTTAACAGGCCCTGGGCGCGGAATGTTTTGCTCCATTTGAAATTCCTAAAATAAGTAGTTATAAATTACTAAATTCGAAATTGAACACAAATTCTAAATGTATCACAATTTTTAAATTTGTAGATCTTTATAGCTAAATTGAACTCTAAAATTCTAATTTCACAACCTAACACAAAAAAATTAAAAATTACTAAAGTAACAACTTGTAAGGTCATAAAATCGAATTTTAACTCAAATTCTAAATGTAACACAATTTCTAAATTTCTAGATTTTTATAGCTAAGTACAACTCTAAACTTCCGATTTCACAATGTAGAGTAAAATTCTAAATTCACAATCTAAATTAAAATCTTAAAAGTTACCAAAATAACTAGTAATTTTGAAATTCGAAATGACTATAATTGCGAAATTAAAATCTTAAATTCGAATATTTAAATTTAACGCAATTTCTAAACATCTACAATTTCAACTATTATAAATAATAAAAAGTTAAAATTAAAGAGTAAAATTCGAATTTCACAATGTAAATTAAAAAATTTACAAATTACTAAATTAACTACTTCTACACTCCTAAAACCGAAATTTAAGGGAAATTCTAAACGTTACACACTTTCTAACTTTCAAGTATTTTATAGCTAAATGTTACTCTAAAAGTCCAATTTCACAATCTAAATTAAAAAATTTATAAATTACTAAATTAACTACTTCTACACTTCTAAAACCGAAAATTAACTAACCTGGAAATTTGGCTGATCACAAAGGTTTGATTTGCTAGTAGGTGCTCTTGCTTGGGATTCTTGATCACAAATTTGGCTTGGCTCTATTTATAAAAAAAAATTGAGTTGGGAGTTCTTGAGTGGTCCACACTTCTATTTAATAAAAGTTGGTATTGAGTTGGAGCAATGAGCGGTACGATCTATTAAATAAAAGTTGGTATTGAGTAATGATAGTGGTCCACACTTCTTCTTCTTTTACTTGAACCATGTGATAGCTCTGATAAAGTTAGGATAGTTTAATTAGTCTAGGTAGGAGTGTAGGTAGGAGTATTTAATTTTGTGGAGGTGAGATATTGAATTTTCGGTCAGGAGTTTGTACAGGTTCAGGAATTTTGGTTCTAGCTGGACCGTGGGATAGTGATCCGGGCTATTCTTCTTTTATTTGGAACCGTCAGATAGTCTTTTGTGTTTGTTTACTTTAAATGGAACCGGGCTATTCTTCTTTTAGCTGGACCGTGGGTCAGATTTATCTGATTATATTTTATCTGTTATATTTTATCTGATTAGTTTTATCTAATGATATTTATTTGAATATATTTTATTTGATTATATTTTATCAGATTAATTTTATCTGATTATATTTAAGTGATTATATTTATCTGATTAAATTTGATGCGAATCCAAATATGGTTGGATAAAATATCCGAATATGGTTGGACGCTACGTAAACACTCATCTTCTCTACATAATAAGGCAAGTTTTTCTAATTTAAAATTTCAGATACAATGAAAAAGAGAACAAATATTTCATTAGTACAAAAAATCCAACAAGGTATACATTACAATATTACTCATGTCCTCTCCTTGTAGCACGCAAATCCATTTCATTAGGAAATCGAGTTCTCTGTGGCCTACCGGCTCTAGCCGATCTATTGTTTGGGGGCGGGAGAAGTGTATGTGATGTTTCTGCCATGAAATTGAGGTAATTATTAATAGGCATAATATCGGAAGCGTACGTTCGGATGTAAGCATTTAAGGAATACACAGCCGGGATGAGGCCGTCTACGGTTATTTTTAAAAACCGACAAACCGCATACGTGTGAACACATGGCATCCTGTTCTGCTTCCACTACTCACACCCACATTCCTGCCTTGTCAGATCGATTGTCACTGGATCATGCGAACCAATAGCTACAGAGTAAATTCCCGTTGTTTGATTGTGCGGGACAATAGTTGTGTGATACCTACGCTGTGACCGCTCAAGAACATCCTTCCATATGTTCTGTGGATACAAGAATCCATCTTGGTGCCACATTATTCCCGCATTTCGTCGATCGCCAAATAGTTGGACGACTTTATCGAATGTGGCCTTTACTAGTGCTGTGATAGGCAATGTGCGGCATCCCTTTAAGACATTGTTAAAACTTTCAGAAAGGTTTGTCGTCAAAATGCCATATCTTTTGCCATCGTCATAGCTCAGGGCCCACATCTCAACAGGAATCTCATTCAAATATAGAAAAGCACTCTCATTTATGTCTCGTATTTGTTCCATACAGTCGTGAAATTCCTGTTATGTGGGAGTGCTACCAGCTTGCCAACATAATTTTTTCAATTCCGCGTTCCTAAACTTGGTCATGAAATTACTCCGTATGTGACAAGGCAATAACGCTTTGAAACTTGTGGCGATCTCAACTCTCGCAAGGCTCTAAATGCACTTTCAATTCCTGCATGACGATCAGAGATAATGCACACACTACGGTGATTTCCAAACACATCACGCATAACCCTTGCAAAGAACCACGGCCAGCTGTCATCATTCTCACTCTCAACAACAGCATATGCAAGAGGAAATATCTCACGGTTAGCATTCATGGCTACCGCAACTAGAAGAACTCCCTTGTATTTGCCATATAAGTGAGTGCCATCAACCGAGACTACGGGTAAGCAAAATCTAAAACCGTCTATAGAAGCCTTGAATGACCAGAACACTCGGCGGAATTCAGACGTATCAGGAGTGCCGGCCTGTTGTGATTGCAAATGAACAACAGTCCCCGGATTTGAAAACTGTATAGCTTCCAACAACATAGGAAGTTCATTATATGATGCCTCCCAATTGCCGAATTTACGCTCCAGAGCGATCAAGCATCCATTCCAAGCTTTTTTATATGAAACACGGATATTAAATTTTTCATATATGTCTGACATTATCAGTTTAATGCTGTAGTCCGGGTCGACTTTCACTTTTGGAGTGATTTCACTGGCTATAATTTTGGCCGTTAGGAGCCTGTCATCCCGAGCCATGACAAGATCCTCCCTACAACTGTGATGGGGTTGATATTTTTTTACTTTCCACTTTTTTGACGTCATACCTTCTCCTGCTTGGATATGCATAGTGCAAAGGGTCGGGTCTATGCAAACCGCCTTCCAGGACCGTGTCCTTTTGTCAACCGTTCTGAATTGACGAAATTGACGAATGTTTTCTCTCGCCACCGCTTCTTTCAGTGCATCATATGAAAAGTAAACTGCGCCTACTTCGATCCTTTCAGGCTCAGAATCTACTGCTTGAACATATGGTTCTTCTAGCTCCACATTAGCCCAGGTGGTGTCTACTACGTCGTCACTATCGTCGCTCGTGGATGAATCGACATCACTACTAAAACCTTGTTCATAGTCTGGGTCGTCCGACTCTTCACCCAAGTTTGTGACTGTACAAAGTAGATACATTCATAAATTTCAATATTATTGTTTGGGACAAATTATTAATTTAACACAATTCTTGAATTTCTAGAATTGAACACAATTCCTTGTAACACACTATCTAAAATAAAATAAAATTATGGTTTGAATTTTTTGGTTTTAATTTATCTGAATATATAAAATTTTTAAGTTTATTTGAAGTATAAAATCTTTTTGTGCTCTGGTCGGATTTGGGTGTTCCGACAGGAGATTTGAAATTTTTTTTTTTTAAATTCCACTTCCGTTAGATTGTGGTGCCTTAGGTTATTTCATTTATTTGAACCATTGATAGAATGTGTTTCTTTACTGTAATTAGGTAGAAGTATTGAATTTGTGCAGATGGGACGGACAGATAAAAAATTGAATTCTATCTCACTTTTTTGTGTGAGATTGAATTTGTGTCACTTTATTTTTGTCAAATTGAATTTGTGTCATTTTATTTTTGTACAGAACAAAATATTGAATGATTAAATTATATCTTATGATAGTTATCTTATTTTATATCCTGGGTCGTGGATGAATCCACATCACTTCTAAAACCTTGTTTCATAGTCTGGATCGTCCGACTCTTCACCCAAGTTTGTGACTGTACAAACTAAATAGATACATTCATAAATTTCAATATTATTATCTGGGACAAATTATTAATTTAACACAATGCTTGAATTTCTAGAGTTGAACACATATCCTTGTAACACACTATCCAAAATAAAATAAAATTATGGTTTGAATTTTTTGGTTTTAATTTATCCGATATATAAAAATTTTAAGTTTATTTGAATAATAAAAACTTTTTGTGCTCTGGTCGGATTTGGGTGTTCCGACAGGAGATAAAATTTTAAAATTTTTTAAAATTCCACTTCCACTTCCGGTTATTTCATTTATTTGAACTAGAATGTGTTTCTTGTGTAATTAGGTAGAAGTATTGAATTTGTGCAAATGTGAAAGACAGATAGCCAAATTTTACTCTGAAATTCCTATTTAACAATCTAAATTAAAAAATTTACAAATTACTAAATTAACTACTTCTACACTCTTAAAATGACAACAAATAAAACCAAATCATTGTAAATTCTATTTAACTTGAACAACACATACCAGGAGATTCGTAGTTCTGAAACGTTTGGCGGTTGTTCCTCCGACCATATACGGATGATGGGCCTTCCTCTCTGGGAGTTCCGTGGAACGTCAAAGTTTGTGGCGGGGTCGCTGAAGCTTCCACGTAAATGTGCAACTCCTCATACTCATTTTTAGCGATCCGGAAAAAATGACGCCATATCTGCTCATCGTGAATGGGCCATAGTCTAGAAGCAACATATACAGAATTCTTATATTTTGGCAATTTTCCGTAAATTAATTTAATTTCGGAAAATCCGTCGCCTCTAACATGATTTAGAACATTCTCATGTATAATTGTATAATCATCTGCTTCACTAATGAATAGTACCGCCCTAGGAGGTATGGAGTACTCTATTTCATCATCTTTTTGAGATGTAGAGCCATTCCAATGAACCATAACAACAATATATCCCTCACTAGACATTTTTATATGAGAGGAGAATGCCTAAACAGAAAATGTAATAAATATATCAAGAGAGAAAGAAGGATTATTTTTTGGAGTGAAAATTTTGAAAAGAAATGAACTCATTTTATAAGAGCTATTGGGGTACGGTGACCATATAAATCCAGTTGGTAGAATAAAGGAATACAAATAAAACACGTAGTGCAAACAATAAAATTAAAACAAAACTCCTGGTCAGATTTCCAAATTCCGACGGAGTATTAATTAATTTAGAACCAAAAGTCCCGCTTTTTGGTAAAAAACTCCCAAATATACGAGTCGGTTGGTAAAATGTTCGTACCACAATTAAACACGTCATTTTTTAAAAAATATGTCAAAATACCCTAGTCGGATTTCCCAATTCCGACTAGGTTTTTAATAAATTTTATCCGCTTTAACCCATTGTTTAAAAAATAATCAAAAATACCCTAGTCGGATTCCCCAATTCCGACTAGTTTTTTTAAATAAATTGGCACTTACCTCTAGTCGGATTGCTCAATTCCGACTAGGGTTTCAACCCTAATTCGGGACTTCTCCTCCAGTCGGAATTGCCAATTCCGACTACCGTAATTTGGTAACCTAAACGGAACTCCCGTATTTTGGCTTGTCAGACGGGAGATTCCCGTAATTTGATAATTTTCTCATAATTATGCCGTAATTAACTTACCCTTAGCTTAGCTTCAGCTTATTTATAGACTTCCTATTTAATTTATGCCCCAAAGTTTTTGTTCTCTAAAATCTTCGTTTCCTAATTCCGATAGGAGTATGC